AGAGAGAGAGAGAGAGAGAGAGAGAGAGAGAGAGAGAGAGAGAGAGAAACTATCCTAACGAGGCAGAGCACATTTTTAGTCCCACCACCTGTTAAAACAACAAATACAACAACCGTATTCTGTGCATGCTTCTCCATTAGCGGTAAAATTAATGAGTGGTGTATCAAATAACTGCCCCAGTGCTGAGTGTAATCTTCTGAGATGTCTGTAAGGAGTAACACCCGTGGAAAGTTGCCGTGCTCTCCAGGGGTCCACCACAGCTACTGCTAACACTGCTGTGGCGTTTGCCCCCCTTCTCCTGGATGGGAAAGCTGCTTTTCAGAGAGAGACTAGGGAAGTAACGCATTTCCCCAAAGTTCACAGACTTCCTGGATTCTCTCCATGGAGCCTGGAAAGGGGGGGAAGGAGGGGAGGAGTGGGAGAGTCTGAGATAGTCTGTCCTCGAGTGCTTGCACAGAAACCTGAACTGTGCAAGGAGACCGAGCAGGGGCTGTGCTCTCGGGGTGCAGGAAGTAACATCCCTAGAGATGGCTCAGTGGGTAAGGGCACTTGCTGCCAAGTCTAATGACACAAGCTCGATCCCTGGGACTCTCACGGTAGGAGAGAACTAAATTCCACAGGTTGTCTTCTGACCTACACTGTGCACCAGGGTATAAACACATGTTCATGTGCACACACAAATAGATGTGATTTTTTTTTAATCTTAAAAACAAAGATATTGGCATTGTGGCTCGTACCTTTAACTACGGCACTGGGTGTTGCAGAATGTTTGTTTACACTGTAAAGATGTGTCTCTGCCTAAGTGCCTTTGGATTGGTTTAATACAGAGCTAAATGGCCAATTGCTGGGCAGGAAAGGCTAGGCAGGAGAGAATAGGCAGAGAGAAATTGAGAGGAGGAATCTAGGTGCATGATTTCACCAGTGGACTCAAGCAAGTCGGATTTGCTGTGCAAAGAAGAGGTAACTGAGCCACGTGGCAGAATGTAGATTAAGAAACATATATGGGTTAATTAAGTTATAAGAGCTAGTTGGGGGAAAGCCTAAGCTAAGGTCAAGTTTTCATAATTAATAATAAGTCTCTGGGCCATTATTTGCGGGCTGGCGGTCCAAAGACAGTCCAGCAAGAAAGCTTGCTATAACTCAGGAGGCAGAGGAAGAGATCTTGCGAGTTTGAGGCCAACCTGCTCCACATAATGAGTTCCAGACCAGTCACGGCTACACAGTGAAAATGTAATTAATTAAATTTTTAAAAAAAGTTTTATTAAATATATCCAGCAACTGGTTACTTAGGTCTTCTGGCTTTCTTTTTCTTTCCTTTTTCTTTTTTGGTCCCCAATTAAGGATTACATATCAGCACAGTCCTAGGGCAGGAACCCAGAGTCCTGAGCTACGCAGCAGTCCATAAGCTATCTAATCAGTTATTATTTGGGGTTTAATCCTGCTCAAAAGGGGGACAGACACAGATGGAAGAGAGAAACTCCAGTCTTCTACAGTCACTTGAATTTAACTTGTATGGAGCTATTTCAGTTGTTGGGAATCATTTACAGCATGCTATCAAGAAGTCAATAATTGTCCCCCCTCCCTCTCACACACACACACACACATACACACGCACACCCCTTTACAGAGTATCACACATCAGGTTGAAAAAGAAAAACATGGGAACTTTCCCCTTTGAACAAACCGCATGCTGCTTCCTGAGCGCTTTGGCCTCCCTCTGCAGACAACTTGGAGCTTGTGCCATTTATAGCAGGTGCTTTCAAGCTCTCCTGGCCATCTGCTTTGGGTATTGCAGCGACACACTCTCCAGATTCCCCTTTTGCCCTAGCCTGATCCCTGGGATCGCTTTGGTGTGGCTGCCTAAGCAGAACCGGGGAAAGGAACGGAGTTGCCCTCGGCAGGAGTCGACTCTATCCGAGGTCAGCCAAGGGAGGGAAGAGACGCCTTTACCTTGTGGTCCCCGTGGCGCTTAAAGACGGCTAGGTCGCCTTTTCAAAGGACCGGCGAGGCGCGCAAGGGTCTGGAAAGGATCGCAGAGGATGCTCCGCAGCTCCCGCACGGGCCCCGCAGATTTTGTCGTGATCAAGTTCCTGCTTCCGTCGCAGCGACTGAAAGTTTGCACGGGGGAAGGGCGCGTCCCTGCCCTGCAACCCGGAGCTGCTTCCCAGGAACATCCAGCCTGACCGCCCCAGTCAGGACGCGCGAGAGCCCAGGCTCCAGGTCCCCAGCTCCCGGCGTAGCCACCGCACCCAGCACAGGGCGAGCCTCTAAAGGGAGAAGTACGGACCCTCCGGGTCACTAAGGGTCTGCAGCTGTGCTACCAGGCCCTGAAAAACAAACTCACGGGTGCTAATTGGATCATACACCCAGGTGTACTCCGCCCCACGCCAGGGTCGCAATCTTTTTGTCCCTCGCTTCTCAAGCAACCACTGTAAGCGGCAGTCGCCTTTTGTATTCAAATGGTGTCTTGAAGGTCTGTCTGGCTTGGAATTCTTTGTGTTGGCAAGCATGACCTTGAACTCCTTCCTGATCCTCTTACCTCTGTTTCCCAAGTGCAGGTGTTACAAGGGGTACCACCACCACAGCTGGTTCAAGAACACCTTCTTGGTTAAAGTTCAGAGTGCTTCCAATTTGGGCAAAATTAGAAGAATCCTATTTCCATAATTGGAGAACAGAGGCGGCGGCGGTGGTGGTGGGGCTCTGTCACAGCTGGCAGCTCCCCAGCTAACTCTGTCAGGCAACCCTAAGGGAAAGCATTTGGCTTTGGGGGAATTTACTGGTTTGTTGTTGTGGTAGTGTGTTGTTTGTTTGTTTTGCTTCTTTGAGACAGGTTCTCCCCAGTCTGGCTTCCGACTCCATATGTAACTGAGGATGAACTTTTAAGTCCTGATCTTCCTCCTCTACCTCCCAGGTGCAATGATCACAGGCGTGCAAGTCCCGCAGTGATTTGTGGGTAATTACTTATGGGTGTGGGTAATAATGATGAAGGCAATGATGTCCTTTGCCGTTGTTAAAATGGCGTCCCTCAACAATTAGCATAGGACTTTGCACGTTAGAGTTGTTAAGTGTGTTGAACCAAAATGTCCTTGCTGCCGAATGAATGGCAAATGACCATAGCGGGTTACAGAAGCTCTCACCCACTGCTCCCCTTCCCCCTGCTGGCATATAACCCCAGACAAATGAAACCTCACTAAAGCACTGGTGCAACTGGGTCTAACTTCCAGCAATGTCTCCCCTTTGGCTGGTGTGAAAGTTTTCATACTGCGGTAGGAGATAATTATTCTAGCCTGTACGGCCAACAGAGAAGCCCAGCTTTAACCAGTCGCTGCAGGAGGTGTACGTCACCAGAGAAAGCTTGTGAACAATGGCCCATTGTGTGAAGCCAGCTCGGGGTAGGTAGAGGGTAACCTACTTTCCGGCTCTTGTAATGTTGCCACTGCTTGGTACCAAAGAGTTGCCAAGGAAAACTAGACTCCAGAGTGGATTAACTACTGCACCGGAATATGTTTCCTGCTGCGACAAGATTCCATGTATGCATATCCATCCGTGTAGATGATATGGTTGGGGAATGAGGGAAACGGAGCAGTTCTCCATTGTTAGAAATTTCAGGTTGCAGGGGGTCTCCACACCTGCCCGTACCCCCAAACTCACCCTCGGTTGCATAGCCGGGAATTCAAGGGGCCATGTTTCAAATGACAGAGAAATGTCTACTTTAGTGTTCTGCTACAGTGCACTTGTTGGGCGTCTCAGTTACAGCAGTGAACAAGGTCACTGATAGAAATAATGACAGGTGGATCTCTGTGAGTTTGAGGACAGCTTGCTTTACAGACTGAGTTCCGGGCAAAAAAAAGATTCAGTTTTATGTATATGAATGTTTGCCTGAATGTGTGTGTAATTAATATATATATATATATATATATATATATATATATATATATATATGCCATGTGTGAACATGCCCAGTACCCTGGAAAGACAGAAAAGTATTGATTCCCCCTGGAACTGGAATTACAGTGGTTATGAGCCACCTTCTAGGTGCTGGAAGCCAGACCTGGGTCCTCTGTAAGAATAGCAAGTGCACTTAACTACCGAATAATCTCTCCATCACATAGGACATTAAGAAGTATATATCTCGGTGGTAGAGCACTTTCTCAGCATGTACAAGGTCCTACTTTCAATTCACAGAACAGTAAAACCTACAAAATAAACATTTCACAATTTTGTTGATACGAAACAGATGTTTAAAAAGAAACCAAATCCATCGCTATGTCATTGCACAGTGAGGTTTTGTTCTGCTTTTGAGGTGTGGTCTTGTTATGAAGTCCAGTCTAGTCTTGAACTCCAGACCTTCCCTCCTTAGCTCCTGAGTGCTGGGATAATGTTACTGGAATGATGAGAAAATGAAGGTAGGACAGACACACAGACATATGTACAGAAGATCTGGGATCCAGTGGGATGAACTTGCTCTGATGGAAGACACTAACCAGGATAGCAGCAACCCCCCCCCCCCCAAGCAAACGCTCCGGTTGAGGGTTGAGGAGGCCCGTCTGTGATTTACAGCTGAATAAGGGGGAAGAATTTGTAAATCTTGGTAGAAAGACTCTGTAGGGAGCAGCCCCAGGTTGCAAATATCCTGGAGGAGGAAGTTATGGTTGATAGATGGTTCCTACAGACACGGCATCCGAACTTGAACCGAAGAAAGCCTTTGCCAGCCCGCTGAGGCTCACCTGGGAAGGCTTTGCTACGCCCTGGGTCTGGCACCTGGAGAGATTTTTGATCCTCTTTCCTGAGAATGAGAACTCCCATCTATGTTGAGGCACCTTTTTTTTTTTTTTTAAGTGTTTTATTAGGAAAATAACTGTTATGTTCCCCAGAAGGAAATCAAAGAATAAGACACGGGGTCTGACTTCAAAATGCTTCTAGTTCGATGAGTGGGACAGGTAAGTCGATGGCTATGGAAGGACAATATGATGATAGAGGTGGCTCACTAAGGGATCGCAGAGGATGGTCTTCCAAGAAGAGGTATATGAGTTAGACCCAAAAACGAGAATCTCAGCTAGCTAGATAAGGAGGAAGAGGAGCAGCAAGAATGAGGAAGCAAACTGGTCAGGAATCAGTCCATCTGGCAGGAAAGTGGCCTGTACATCAAGGAAAAGAGAATACTAGTCAGAATATACTAGTATTCTGGAAAATTCTTTCTGCTTGTTACATGGAGAATGGATTGAAGGAAGTGAGGTCAGAAGCCTTCTGACTTCCAAGAAATTAAAGAAATGATGAGGCCTTGAACTGGGCATGGAGATACGGAGAAATTAAAGAGACAAGCTCTCCAGGACTTAGCAACTGCTTGGATACACTGGTGAGGCCAAGTAAACCTTCGGATGGGAGACAGGTGGATGGATGTTCTGGGTGATATGAGGAGGAAGAGCCAGGCTGGAGGAGGCACAAAGAAGACAAGAAAACCTCTGTCTTGGGTATATCACACCTCTGCTTGTATGATCAAGAATAAACCACTTCACTGGAAAATCAAGAGAGTTGTTTCTCAGACAGGCATGATGGCACAGCTCTATGGTCTCAGGACTTGACAGGCTGAGGTAAGAGAATTGCTGTGACTTTAAAGTGAGCCTGGGGTACAAAGCACGACCTTGTCTCAAACAATAACAATACAAACTACAGAAAAGAGAAAGCTTTTCCATAAGATGTGCTATAAGACTCATATATATGAAAGTGATATAAGCGCTCAAAGGTTGTTTATACATGGAACATATATGTGTTTTATATGTTTATACATGGAACATACATGTGGTTTATAGATGTAACCACATGTCAGTGAGCCTAAGAGGCATCAACTACAAAGGGTGGAAACTTACAACACAAGCGCTCATTCTTCTTTCTTGTCACTGGACTGCAGGTTTCTTGAGGATAAGGGCGACGTCTTGCTGAATCTTTTCTTCTTACCTCTAACATGTGCCTAACACCTGACAGGTTCCCAGTAAATGCTGAGCAAATGAGGGCACACTAAATCCCACGTTACATTAAACCCACACACTTACAGTGTACGCGTCAAAGACTGGAGAGACAGGGGACTCAGCAGCTATGGTTGTGTACCGTTCTTGTAGAGGCCTGAATTCAGTTCTCAGCACTCACATCAGGGAGCTCACAACTGGCTGTAATTCCAGTCCCCAGAGATCGGATGCTCTCTTCTGGTCTCCACTGGTACTCCAACCCACTTGTCCCATCCCCTGCTGCAAATAAAGTAAAATCTAGAAGAAGGAGAAGGAAGAGAAGGATGAGGAAGACACTTAAACATCTCCCTTACCGTTCTAGACCTGGGCATGATAGCACATACCTGTCATCCCAATATTCAGGAGGCTGAGGCAGGAGGATCATGTGACCTGGACTCGTGTAGCAAATACTAGACCAGCTAGGGAGGGCAGTAGGAAGGGAGGGAAGGAGGGAAAGAGGGAGGTTAGGAGGGAGGGAGGGAGAGAGAGAGAGAGAGAGAGAGAGAGATCCTGTTTCAAAAACACACAGCACACCAAACCCCAAACAAGGCAAAACAATCTCTCATATTTTAGGAGCCTATGAGGATCTCTAGGTAGATTTTATGTCTGTCTTCATCTTCCTACAACATTCTGAGTTTAAAAATCTATTTGCATCAGCTCATCACATTGTAAAGGGGATTGGAGCAAGAGCCAGTTCTGAAGCCATAGGCCCAAATCCTCCCACTTCTTACCTTTGGAAATTACCATTTGTTGGCCTTAGATTTGGGAAAGTTAAATGACGTGAAATAGGGAGCATATTTGTGTCCTAACACAAGAACGTTCAAAATCAGCCCGTCAATTTGGCCCATTGGGATTATATTTATACACAAAATCTTAGGACATTTTCTTGTATTTTTTTTCTTTTTTTCAATTTTTAGATAGAGTCTCATATAGATCAGGCTGGCCTTGAATGTCGTAAGTACCCAAGTGCAACTTTGATTCCCTGATCCTCTAGCTTCCAACACCCCAATCTCTGAGTGCTGGATAGCAGGATGGTGTACAGGACCATGACCCGAAGTGTTGCCATCTTCCGGATTCCAGCAGCGCCTGCTCACTAAAGATAGTCTCAGCTGGACTTGCTGACTGCAACCTCTCCTCTTGGAAGCAAAGAGGGGCTGAGGAGGATGGGGGAACCATCACTTGAGTTTGGAGCCACTCATCCCAACCACTTTGTACGCAATTCTGCCTTAATTGCAGGTGGCCTTGGGGGTGGAGGACTAGAGTACACGGGTGGAGACTCTACCTGCTAAGGGGTGGGGGTGCCATCCTGTATATCGGGTGATTTTATGTTTAATAAACTCATTGGTTCCTCAGAATGAACGTTGGTGGTAGTCAGAACTGTAGGGGGGTGTAGATGTATTTATATCTCCCATAGGTGAGAAGATCCCCACCCGTCTGCCCTCACAGCTACCCTGCCTGCTTCGAGGAATCTCTGTTGCGGCCAGGTCAAGCTGTCCCCAGGCCAGCATAATCACCCTGAGACTAGAGGGGTCCCTGATGAGAAAACAGGGTACCTATAGTCAGATACTTAGAGGTCAGCCTTCGGCCAACAGGAAAACAAAAGGGAACAGGGAGCCCAGAGTGTGCTGAAATGAGCCTTAACTGATTCCCATATATTCAAGATAAATAGACAACCCTGTAACCATATATTTCCCTTACCTGCCCCTAACCTGACCCCATCGTTTTATCTGAAATAACCACCGAGAATGCATCCGCTTCTGTAAACACGCTTCTTGCTATATAATCAACCCCGAATTCAGCCCGGCACGCACAGTCACCCGAAGGCTGTTGCGTCCCAGGCGCCTGTGTGAATAAACTACCTCTTGCTTTTGCATCCAGTGTGGACTAGTCTTGGTTCTTGGGCATCATGGTCCCCGAAGGGAAAACACCCTAGCCGGGAGTCCTACATAGGGAAGGCATTTTAGCAACATGGGCACACACCACAGAGACTGGGGCTTGTAATTTCTAGAAGCAGTTGAGAGAACCCCTGGAAGATTCTGCCTGCATACCTGATTTACTCACAGAAGCATTTTCCTTTCTGTATCATCTGTACATCTTCCTGGTCATAGGTAGTTCCATAGTGACCTGTCAATAGCCGTCAATCCTCAGTAAGTGCCTAGATTCACTTCCTGTTCAAGAGGAACAGGAAAGCAGCATACCCTAACAGTTTTTCTCTCAATTATAGCTCCTTCCCACCCCCGCCCTGTGTCTTGGCATTTTCTGTATGGTTGCCCACTGCTAAACTCCCTGCTTCCAAAGTTTTAGAAAAGAGCTTTGCTGTTGTACTAGTGTGGTTTGAAATTTGAGGTCTACAGACCACCTTTATTCTCCATTGGTAAAACGGGTAAAAATACTTATTTTGCCGGGCGTGGAGGTTCTCCTCTATAATCCCAGGTTGAGTCAGGGGGATCTCCCAGAGTTCCAGGCCACCAGAGAGCTACAGTGTGAGGCCCTATCTCAAAAGCAAAAACCCAGTTCATTTTGCAAAGTTGTTCGAAGATCATCAGGATTACAGTGCTTAACCTGTGGTTCTCAAAGGTAACACGTCCTCGGCAGGAAAGGGCTTTTCACCTCTGGACTCCTTTGGCCTTGAGGAGGCCTGGCCCTTTAAGACGGTGCCGCCCCCAACCTCCAGCGCGCGTCTCCGCGCCCCGCCCCTCGGATTTGGGGGCGGGAACCTCCGAACCCGGAACTGACGGCTACGCGTAGCTGGTGCGGCCAATCGGCGTCCCGGAAGGAGCACGTTTCGGCGTCTGAGCCGGCGAATGACAGCAGCGCCGCCCGCCGGTCGCGGCCGCGGCACCGCCGGTGTCCCGAGCCTCCTGTCAGCGAGCCTCTCTGCTAGGCGAGCGGCGTGCCTCCCCGCGTGTCTGTGACCCGGAGGGCTCTCCCCGCTCTCCCCGGCCCCTGCCCAGCTGTCCCTCCGCTGCCGGCGCCATGGGCAGCGAGCAGAGCGCGGAGGCCGAGAGCCGCCCCGGCGATCTGAACGCCTCAGGTCGGTGCCTCACCTCCCGCCCGGGCGCTGCTGGCGGAGCCGGCGGGCCCACCGTGTGCCCGAACACAGAGAAGGCGTGGCCTCTTGCCCCAACCGGGTTCCCTGAACCGGCACGCTCGCCTTCGCGCTAGTCTTTAAAAGACGACCTCGTGGATGGTCGGTTCCAGGTCTCGGCACTCGCGCTGAGATTTGGCTCCCTGCGCATGGATAATACCCAGGACCTCTAAGATCAGGCTTTCTGAAAAAGACAGAGGTGTCGAGGTTCCTTTTCAGAAGGGACCTGTGAGCGCTGGGCGGTCACTTTCAATGTCTGGGTGCAAATGTTACCAGAAACTGCTTTTTCCATTCAGGTCTGTTTTTTTTTTGTTTTTGTTTTTGTTTTTTTAATTAAGTTGACCAGATGGCAGGCAGGGTCTGGTGTATTGTCTGTTGTCCACATTTTTTTTTTTTTTAGATTTCTCTAGGAGTTTGAGGTAGGAATTGGAAGGGAATTTTGCTAGACCCATAGTGAGCGCTCAATAAAACAGCTTGTGATCGAAAACCATTTGGTCCTTTTTTTTTTTTTTTCCTACGCACTTAGGTAACCTCTGAGACTGCACTAGGTAAGCTCAGGGGTTGCTAAGTCTTTTTAATTAAGACCTCAGACCTAAAAGGAGTTTTCAGAATGGCTCGCTGCTTGGTACCATTTTCCACTCAGAAATGTGCAAACTAACAGGTGTCGGGGGTGATTCATGCTGAAGGGCAGTTCCTTGAGGCCTGCTGTCTGCGAACTGGCGTCTACTGGCTTTGCTGTGTTTTGTTTCCTTGGAAGACCCAGAGTATCGTGTCTGTTTATAACAAAACCGCAATAATGGCCATCTCTTGCTTTCTTGCCTCTGTGCCCAGCCAGAAACAGTTTAGGGAAAGGAGCGTGGCGCCCTATTGCTCACCCGGGAATCAACATCATAGACTTACTTCTGAGGGGATTTGCATACTCTCCTATGCCTGGTGCCTTGCACATGTTTATGTGCAGTATTTATAGTGTCCTCATTTTTACACACATCTTTACCATTCATACATGAAATAATAGAATGCTTTGACGTCCCCTTTGGAGTCTGGGGAAAGGAGAACCATGGAATTTGTACCAGGAAAGATGTTTTGGTACTACTTCTGTAAAATGTTAAATAAATTACCAAGCTGGGATAAACTGTTCCTGAAAAGCAATAAAAGTAGCAGAGATTTCCCTCCACCCACTCCCAGAATACAACCCCCAGGGCGACCACCAAGCATCAGGAGAGACTAGTTTCCAGAAGGCAGAGTAGTTCTGTGATATCTAGCCTCAGATCAGACTGATGAGCCTTAGTCTACAAGCCTGTAAATACTAGAACCTTCAAGTTCTACAGGATTCATTCTTGTTCCAACCAGGCAAATATTTGGATGAGATGCCTTGTTCAGGGAATCCTTGGAGGAATGAACCTCTTCCCTCCCAAGGAACCTGGAATTGACATGCCTCTGAAGCGCCCTCCAGTTTTCTGAACGTTGCCACAGCTTGAAATGGTCCTGTTGATGGCTCTGTTCTTTTTGCACTAATACTGAACTAAGACTCACTGGAGCTTTAGGAATAGACTTATAATTTGGGTTTGAAATCAGAGGTTTTGGGTACAATGGACTCTGTTCAGCACACCTGACTGGTTTTGGTAGGTTAGAGAGAGCTTTGCATTCTCTGTCACTAAGAAAAGCCGATGTATCAAGGACCCAGAGACCTTCAGTGCCTTTCCTAATTTTGTTTCTAGGGCTGTTGGCCTTGGGCAAGTCCCAGACAGTTTTGTTCCTTCATATGTAAACTATGGACATATATCAGGAGATCAGGATAATCAAAAAAGGAGACATTAAAAAAAAATCTGCCTATGAGAGACATTAAAATACCGCTTATGCTTTTGTGTGTTTAATAAAATGTTTGGCTATGCAAGAATTTCATACATGTTATATGTTCCTATATGTTTGAAATTATATGTGTATATATATTAAAGCATGTATGTTAAGATCAGAAAAATCTATATTATATATATATATATATATATATTTACTAGGCTAGGGCCATAGCTCAGTGGTAGGGTACTTCCCTAGCATTCGAGAGGCTCTGGTTACAATCTCTAGCACCACACACACACACACACACACACACACACACACACACTAGAAGTCGCCTATAATCTACCTATGCCAGCCCCCCACTACAAAGTAACGACATTTTGCTATGTAAAATATTCACTTTTTCTTCTTTTGAGACAGTGTTTTATGTAGTCTAGGCTTATCTATGCTTCCAATGCTATAAATTATTTTATTATTATGTATATAGGTGTTTTGCCTGCATGCTTGTCTGTGCACCACATATATGTAGTGTATGAGGAGTCATAAGAGGGTACTGGATCCACTAGAACTAGAGTTACATATGGTTTTGAACCAACGTGTGGGTGCTGGGACTTGAACCAGGGTCTTCTGGAAAAGCAGCCAGTGTTCTTAACCAGTGAGTCATATCTCCAGACCCTGTTGTTGAATTTTTATCTTCCTATCTCTACCTTGAGTGTGGAGATGTGAGCCACCATGTCCAGTTGATGTCCAGCTGAATTACATCTCCTCGTAGTCTTTTGTTATTTAGTTTTATTACTTATTTATTTATTTATTTATAGACAGGGTCTTACTATGTAGCTCTGACTGTCCTGGGATTCACTATGTAGACGGAGATCTGCCTGCTTCTTCCTCCCAAGTGCAAGGATTAAAGGTGTGCACCACCGTACCAGCATTTCCTTTTAGTTTTTGCTGTTGTTGTTCTTGTTTTGTTATTAAACTTTAATCTACTTCAACATTTCAAAGACAAAAAGCAGCCGGTACCACTCTCAGAAGAAATAGTTCATAATTTTAAATAAAGATGGCTTTGACAAGAAGCACGTATGTTAAGATCAGAAAAACCTCTATGTTCTGTGGACTTCTCTTTCTGGTGGCTGTGTTGGTGGTGGGCCATGCAGTTCCTGATCTGTGTTACCTGTTTTGCAGTGACTCCATCTCCAGCTAAACACCGGGCCAAGATGGATGATATCGTGGTGGTAGCTCAGGGCTCTCAGGCCTCCAGGAACGTCAGCAATGATCCTGACGTCATCAAGCTGCAAGAGATCCCAACCTTCCAGCCCCTTTTAAAAGGTGAGAGGTTATACTTTGTGTTATCTGGACTTGCCGGGGAGGTTTATATATGGCCCCGTGACTCTTTCCCCACATATCTGTGTATGCCTTGGCATCTTCTCTGAAAAGTCTTCCTTGACTGCTCTGTCTGAAATTGGAGTCTTTTTCCCTGACTTTTTTTCTGTAGCACCTATTCACCTCTGACCTATTGTAAAATAGAAAACATTTTTACATGTTTGTTAGTTGTGCATGTGTGTGCATGTCACAGCTTACATACGGAGGTCAAAGGACAACTTTTGGGAGTGTGTTCTTTCTTGCCATCATGTGGGTAATGGGGATCAGGTCAGGTTATCAGGCTTGGCACCTTTACAAATTGAGCCATCTTGCTAGCCCAGTTGGTTTACTGTCTATTTTTCAGTTAGTATGTGAGCTCCATGATGACAGGAACTTCCTGTTTCTTCCGCTATTGAAGTCCAGCCCCCAAGATAGAACTGATATAAAACAAGGATCAAGTAAATTAATGAATGAACTGATGTTATTAGAGGTGGTCCTTCAGTTGACTGGTTTAATTCCATGAAAAGATTTTCGTTGTTTGTGATCTAGACTGTGGTATGGATTGACTAGTTTAGACTCCTAGAAAGGTTCTGTCACCACTGATGCACTGGTGATTAATTCTAGCAACTGCTGTACACGAGGGAAAAGTATGCTTAAGAGAGGAGAGATTTCCTACCTGATTAGCATACTTCAAGGTGTTTATATGAAGACCATAACTTTGTTGTTTTTGTATCTCCATTAAGTGGAGTTTATTTTCTTTATCTTTTGTGTGTGTGAGTGTTGTGTGTGTACATGTTTGGAAGCCATAGGTCAATGTCCAGTGTTGTTCTCAGGAGCCATCCACCTTGTTTTCTGAAACAGGGTCTCCCTATTCCTGGGAATGATTTTCTGTTAACTGAATGGTGCTTCTGCTGTATGAGTTCCTCAGATTCCCTGCCTCTACTCCCACAAAAACACCCAAAACAAAACCCAAGCAATAATGAGCATAAATAAGACTGTGGTTTACATAACCTGCATCTTTCTTCATTTTTTTGTAATAATACCACAGACTGAGAAATTTATAAAGAAAAGAGATTAATTTACCTTACAATTCACAATGAAGACCATAGCTCTGATATCCTCTTGGTATCTGCTGAGAGTCTCCCTGCTGGATCATGTTGTGAAGGGGGATATCACTTCACACGGCTGAGCAAGCTGCTAACTTGATCTCTCTTTCTCATCAAATAAAGCCATTCATGCAATCATAAGGCTCCACCTTCATGACCACATCCCATCCTGATTACCTTCCAAAGGTCCCGCCTGCAAACCCCATTAGCCTGTGATTTGTAGGGGGTAAGTTTCAATATGAACTTTAGAGGTGACAAATACCCAGACAAGAGCAAACTGATTCTAATAAAGTATCTTATATAGTTATCTGTATTAAATGTACCCTGGCCCCCCATATATACACACACCGTTCTTGTCATTCTTGGGTCACTGAGTTTGTTTTAGTGATGTTTGCAAGATCAGACATCTGGCAGATAGAGACTGCGCGTGAGGTGTCTTCACCGCTGTCGAGTCCTCCCTGAGTTAGGTGCTGTGTTCTTCCCAGTGATTCTCTGCTGTACACTGGAGACCATTCGCACTTTCACTCTCCCCTGTCTGGCCGCCAGGGTAGACTTTGATAACTCCTCTACTCTATAAAAGAGCAGACTACATTCTGCTGCTTACCATCTACCCATGCCTTTCCCTTATTCTGAGAAGTAGCGTGATTCTCCAAAGAAGTCAGCCTTCCAAATGAAATTCCACCTTCATGTAAATTTGCCCAATCTTCAGAAACATAACAGATGTTGATGTCCGACACTCTACCCTTCCTGGATCTGCTAGAGTACTGTCCACGGTCAGTTTCCACGTGCCTGCTTCCTGTCAGCTCCTTCTTCTCAGTCCCCAAAGTCTTCTAGTCCTTCACTGGTCTTCTGTGACTTATTCTTGACTTCTTCACCCTAGGGAAATACTAAAAGAAAACCAGAATTTGAGATATTCATAATAATTTTGCGGGATGAAGTGCTTAATCATTTGACATGATTCACTTGAGAATAAATGACCAGTAGGGAAAACACCTAGGAGACGACTTGGGATGAAGGGACGCTGCCGGGAGTGAAGGTCATCCACCATGAGCATGAGTGATTGTGATACAAGTGAGTGCCCACCTGGACTTGGTTACCTTAGTAACCAGGCCGTACTACATCGAGAGCTGCGAGCTGGTACAGAGGAGGGGAAAGCTGGTGAGGGGCAGGTGACTCTAAGTACTTACCTGGGTTTGGCTAAGGAAGATAGAGAGCTCACATGATTGGAAATGGAGGTGTGAAGCTGTGCTCAGACCACAGGCACAAACACAAGGCAGTGAGTGTTTGCAGACGCTGTGTGTCGTCTGTGAGCAAGAAAACCCTTGGACAGCGATTGGGAAAGACGGGCAACAGGAAAACTGAGTAGACAATGATGTGTCCAATTTCCCTCAGTACTTCCCTACGAGAGATTAAAACATTAGGATTCACATTAAATTCCCGGCCTAATATCACTGGCTGTATCAGTATCCTGTCTTCAGATGGTATCTGGACATGCCAGCCATAGAGTAGGACTTGTTCCCATTGTAGCACAATCTGGTGTATAAACCACAGCTATCCCAGGGAGGGAGGGTGTGTGTGTGTGTGTGTGAGAGAGAGAGAGAGAGAGAGAGAGAGAGAGAGAGAGAGAGAGAGAGAGAGAAAAAGAGAGAGAGAGAGAGAGAGAGAGAGAGAGAGAGAGAGAGTTTGTTTGGATTTTAGGTGCCAAATTTCTTGCAGAGCCTCCTGCTTTGGCATTGTTCTGCCTGGTAATTTAAATCTCTGGCCCCTTCCTGCTGGGCTGTTGTGGGAGTTGCTGGCGACTCAGTACTGTCGCTTTATACTGCCACCTTTCTACCCCCTCTTGCTTGCTTTCAGGGTGAGGCAGTATCTTAAAGTAGAAAAAAAAAAAGGCCACCCAGTGAAGGCTATACCCGCCAGGTTTGATTTCAGAAAGCTTTTATTCAAGTTAATGACAGTTTATTCTTTCAAAACAATATATTCAGCTCTTACAGAGTTCACTATTGTTCCGTAATGTCATATGAGGTAAGCTGCTGCTGGTGGGTGATCTGCAGAGGCAGACTGGGCGAGTTTGGATGACTGAGGTAATGTTTGCATTTTAATAAGCAAGCAGAGTCTTTGGTTTTAACTCTTTTGTGTAAATATATCAGGGTATCATTTATACTTTATAATACAAATATCTGTTCCTAGCATTTTTCAAGCCAAAGATTTCTATTTTTTCATAACAGCATCCAAGTTAGCAATTTATTTTCATATGTGAAACACTTGCTAGAAAAGGGAAGAAAACTTGAAAGTAGCAATGTGGCCATGACAGCATACAGTAGCAAATTGTTGATTTCATGTATGTTACTAGGATTCCAATGGATTAACTAAGCCCTACACATTCTTACTTAAAATTCAACCACTCATTTTTTTTTTTAATGAAGCTGACTCTATTTTATATCATTCTATAGGAATGAAACATTCAGAAGAGAAATGCAATATTGTTTTTATGTCAAAGTTACAAAAATATACTATTCATTTTTGGTGGATGAATAGATGCTTACACACACACAACATTGTTTGTGACTGACCTGCCATTTTTGTTCATGACCTTGGATATAACATAAGGGGTTGTCCTAAAACCTAAGAAAGGACTGTCCTTGTTACCAGCCAGGACGGTCTCGCTTATACAACACAGATGCTTACGTGACACTAAGCAGCTTTGTTGGTGTTTTGAGAGTGGGTGTTAAGAACAGGAGGCATGTGAAATGGATTCTGATTATTAAAGAGCTTGGAGCTGGGGGAGGGTGCATGCCTGTAGTCCTAGCCCCAGGAGCCAGAGGCTGAGAGATAGCTGTGGCGAGCCTGGGCATATAATACAAAGAAAAGGAAAACAAAAACAAACAAAGCCTGCTTTTTGGTCTTTCTCTTGGTGGAGCTAAATGACACAGAGCAGCAGTGAAGGGTCTCAGACCCTTGGAACTCTCGGAACACTGAGAGCTCTGCTTAGCTGGGGGAAGAATGAAGCCTGGGAAAGGATGAGGAAGAGGAAGAGGAAGTGGAATTTCTTAGGATCAGTTCCTCTACCATGTACTGTCGCTCCTGTCACTCAAAGATAGACAGCTGTCTCCACCAGCTGCCAGACATCCCTGAACTGGAAAATGGTGTACCAAAGGTTGGCCTGAGAGAATGGATCTCTATTTAAAGACTTTCTGTTTGTGTCTTTCACGTCATGCACCCTGATCCTACCTGAGAATGGGTTTTAATCAGAGCCACAGTCTTCTCTGAATAGCTTAAAGTGTCCCCAGTTTCTCCCAAACACCATGTTGAAAAAGTTGGTAGCTTATTCATGACTCCTTTGTCTAGTAACTGTTGGGTTAAGCTTTTCAACATGAATTATTCACCGAAAAGACCCAGCCTAAATGAGTGAGAGGAAATACCAGGGGAAGCGTTGCTTACATTGACTGGGAAGGTGAAGCCCTCTTGAGAGCAGCATCAGTGTCTTGCTCTGCCTAGCAAGCCCGTGGGCCTGCATTCTTCCTTGTTTCTTCCATCACATCTCAGAGATACCCGTCTTCTAGTGCAGCACTCCCCTTTGCTTCTGTCTTTCCCTTCCTCTGCCATCTGACTTGGTGTACCTCTTTTCTCTTGTTTAGATATATACAGAAAGGATCGTTAAAAATTCCTTCGTTTCGGTTCCATTGTCCCTCCTAGCTACCATGCTTTGGTCTTTCCTTTAAATCTCGGCTGCCGAACCTACTTACTATCCCTTTCTCCTGCTGCTTTTGCATTTTGAAATGTAGACATCAGCTTTAGCTTTTTGTTCTAGCTCTCTAGCTATGAGCCAGTCATTTAGTCCTGTACTATTCCTTTGTTTGATTT